AAAATACTGTGACGCCACTTACCTCCTTGCGCACTACGTTTCAAAATCCACTCGCTTTTAGCTGAACCTGAACTTCCATCATGGTAACTTTCCACACGGTACAGGTAATCTGATAGAAAAAAGATAGGATGTGTACATTTTCTTTTCACGAATGACAAGTTAATTTTCATTAGGTTTTGTTTATTTTTATCGTTTATGGCAGGGGTCGACATTTCTTCCATTTCTAATTTCCTGTTGAGGCAAAAACAATATTTTTGATCAGTAACTAGCCTAAACTTAAAAAAGACTACTCTATTCATCAATCAACTTACCGGTGAAAATGTCCACGGATGAGTCATTAAATCTCTCAGTCTTCCCAGAATACACCACAAAACTATTAAAGGGTAAACATTTTCCTATTTGACCTCTGGTCGCTAATGTGGGCGCAGGGCGGCAGCCATCAAGGTCCGCATTATGCATGGCATTGACTACAGTTATGTAATCGATCTCTTTTGCCAAAGACTGAACAATTATGCAACCACCAAAAGATAACTCCACAGTCGCCCCAGCCTGTTGGGCGACTGTTTCGGTCGAAGATCCCCAGGGGACCCCTCCGATGAATATGCTAGATTGTATGTTTAGATTAGTTATTCCAGTTCCAACCTCAGTTTTACCATCGAGGAAGACAGTTAACCTGTTGTTGAAATTAGTTAAAGTCATGTTGTGCCATTGTCCATCACAAATTTCACCATATGGCGAATAAACTGTCACATTGTCCTGCACACTAGACGTGACGTATTTCGTTTCAACTCGATTTTCAGAAAATTGAATGAAAAATGTGGTTGTTGATCCGTGCATAAACAGAAGCAACCCTGATGACAGCTGAGTGCGGAACTTCAAAGTAAAGCTAAATATATTATTGGTAAAAATGTCCGCTACATTTGAGTCCATAGCGACATAGCCACCGCCTCTGAGGAACAAGGCTCTTTTGTTGTCTCTCTCTGGACATCCATTTCTCTGAGGCTCGACACTGACTGCTTCTAACGCAGAAGTCCAATCGAGCTGCTTTGAAACAGAAGCAGCCTGTTCTGAAGTGACACCACGTATACAGCCGATAAAGTTGATCTTGTCAATTTTGGAATTTCCTGTGTCCGTCCGAAGAATTTTAAATGAGGAAGGAAGACCGCCGATATAAACCCCAGTGTTTGCCGATATCACGGTGGCGGCGCCTGGACTATCCTGACTGGCTTGGTAACCGTCCACCTTCAGGGTCCCTCGACGGCTGACACGTAACACCTTCAACAGATGCCACTCGCCATCGTCAAAGCGGACTGGCTGGTTGATCGTAAAGGCAGCAGGGCCATCTTGACAATCGAATATTAACCATGGCTTTCCATCCTTTAATTGAACTGCTAACATGTCAGTCTGTGAGCCATCTGAAGCCAGAAAGAGAAGCAAACCTGACGCATACTGGGTTCGAAACCAGAATTGAATGTCATTTCTTGCACCAGCTCGAACAAAGTCTGAAGGAAACTTGTAGAATCCAAGACCTGGATAATGCACGCCTTCTGACACCACAGGGGGTGGGAAGTGCAGGGCTGAGTAAGCTCGGCTCAGGTTATAACTCGGCGGTATTGGGCCGTTAGGGATCTGAGGTTGAGGCCATCTAAGGTACACCGTGGATGAATCAACTGAGAGGACCGAGGGAGGTCCCTGTTGTTCGGGAGCTGTTAGAAAGTAAATCAGATACACCGCTGTTAGTAAAGAATATGGACGTCATGTTAAATATGATTCAAAAATAAGGATAAAATTGCAGCGTCATGGCAACGTGATGTAGTCGCTTTGGGACTCTATTAGTGAGCTCTAAGAAATCAGAAAGAAGAAAAATCTGTTTAAATTCACTCCAATGTCAGCAAAAACCTCAAAATTTGGGAGAAATTGGCGAAAAGTGTTTCTCACTCCGCATTCAGCTTTACTCTACCGAATACACTAAGGTTCTAAGCTGTATTAATTTTCCTGTACTGTCGCACGGATTTGCAGTACAGTTGGGCCGGATTCTTTACACGACGCTTAAATTTATCTCGCGGGTAAGAAACACTTTTAATATAGTCGTATGGTTTTGGAGAAAAATGTACTGTTTATTCTTGGCTTGTAAAGGGATGAACTCTAACAAACTCATCTTCAGCTAAAAAAATCAAACCAATGTTTAATTTTTATTTCAGCATAAATCAAAACCACCATTCGAAAATTAAACCTTTTCCAAAGTATTGAATTTCCCGGAGATAGTATCACTGAAAGTTTAAAATTTAGACTACATACTTGCCGCTGATGTCCGTACAAGAGCTTGCGGACTTTGCCCAGAGCAGGCAAAACTGTTACATGCTGTAACTGTGAACTTATATTGAGTGTACGGCTGCAGCCCTGCGACCAGGGCCTGTCGCTCAGACCCAGGCAACTCCACAGCTATCTCGGCAACTGAGCTAGAGGGAGGTTGGCACTTGTAAATGACGTAGCGACTAATGACCCCCTGGGGGATCTGGGGAGGACTCCAGGAAACTATTACAGCAGTGCTGTTCAAGAAATGAGCACCAGTGTTCATGGTATTTTCGCCGAGTGGAGCTGAATAAGAATTGAAAACCATTAAAAAACATCTTCGTCATAGCATGTACAGCATATGTGTAAACACATACATTTCCATTCCTTTTTGAGGGTATTTTTAGTGTTTCCCTAACACCACACGGAGGCTGTCTAATATCTCATAATCAAAACTTCTCTCAACTAGATTTAAGTGAAAACAAGACAAAGATTTAATGCCTATCCTCAAATGTAGCATATGTACGTATAAACCGGAAACTGTGCAGAAAGTCTATTGCTTTCATTCAAAAATTGGAAGACGCTGTTAGCGCGCTGGAGCTCGAAATGAGACGTCTGGGCTTCCCACGGCTCTAGTCAGGTATCAGTACATGTTAAGTTACGTCCTTAAGGAAGACTCTTGGCTCTTAAAGAATCAGTTAACTAGCTGCATAAGAAACTTGACAGATGCCACTTGGCACACGTCCTCACATCACTTTTCACTCTTTTTATTATTCAATAATTCTAGAATGTTTCAGTTTTTCTTGTATCTAGCGATCTCATTAACGACAGGTACTTGATTGACCAAAGTCTGAAGCGCTTTAGTTCTTTTTTAGCGCATAACATTCCATATCTGTTGTTTATTTATTGAAATAACTTACTTCCTTGGCCAGTCCTATGCCTTGTCCAATTACTAACTCGGTCCCCCATGACTTGCGCAACAAATGTTCGCACCCTGAACTCATATACCGTGAATGGAACCAGTCCTGTCACGTTCGCTTCTCTGAAGATGATAACGTTCGGGTCATGGACAGAATTGCTGTTGAACTTCAAGACTCCGTCGCTTGTGTCTTCGTCTAGGCGCATGTACAGCTCATAACGAAGAATTCTACCGTTCGGCTCGGTTGGCTTGTCCCATTCTACCCTCACTGCAGTGCCTCCCGGAAGTGACGTCACATTTGGTGCCAGCTGGAAATCCGGAAGTGTTGGCAGCGTCATGATGGTTGTAACGTTACTACGAGCGCATCCACCATTGGTGCAAGCCACCACTGAGAAATTGTACACAGTGTATGGTTTAAGATTCCCCAACTTACACATGAAAATAACACCTCGACAGTTTACAACTTCAACTGAACTTCGGCTATTGATAGATATCAGCCGATATTCGGTGACACGACCATTTGGCATGTTGGGAGGTTGCCATGAAACAGTTGCATTCCTGGGTAGAATATCTGTGATGACCGGTGCAGAAATTCCACGTGGTGCGTCTTGGAAGGTGCGGTACACGTATCCGTCGTCTAAACTTCTAGTCTGACCAGATTCAGTGTAGGTAATGATGTAATAATAGTAGACGGTGTCAGGAGTGAGACCAGTGTCATTGAATTTTCGGTTCAGTCCAGTGTAGGCC